TGTCTGTCTATTTATATGTGCTGCTAGCACAACACTCACTTCTGTAGGAGCACAGGATAGCTTTGGGCTAAGCTTTCTGCTAGCCTACATGAATGACACATATTCAGAATGGATCCTGAAGTGCAGACACAGCAAAACAAATGAATAGGCTTTTACCCTTGCACACAACCAGGCCTCAGCTTGCCATGTCTCACCCAGAACATCTCATGAAGTAGTTGTATAGGGCTCTGATATGCTATAATGGTTATTCTGCCAAAATTAGTCTCATCTTTAATAGCTAGGAACTGAAAGAACAGCTTTTACATCTAACTGGCTATTAGCGTACCCTTCTACAGACAGGGGCTACTTAATGTAAGGTCCATATCAAAATGTCTGGTGAAGAGACCAAAATACCAACTGGAACTTGAAAAGTAGTTTCCAATTTTTAGATTTCCCCCCCTCCCCACTCAAGACTGTTCAAACACTTCCTCTTAGCTGGGGTCATGAGGAGTAAGGGCAAACACCGTCCTATACTGTATATCCCTTACCGTCTCCAGAGTAACCAGCGCTAGCGTCTGAATTAGCCTACGCAGATCTGTCAAAATAATGCATTGACCATTCACTTCTCACTTGAACACAAGATCTGCTTTTGTCAGAGAAGTGAAGACCACTTTGCATGTACAATAAGCTATTGAAATTATGTAGCTGTCTAAACATTGCAAGTCAACACGGATCCTCGGGAACTGCATACAAGTAAGGGTGCATTTAAGTTCAGAGATGAGAAGAAGGAACACGAGAGTCTGTATGTTGTACTGTCAAGTGATAAGACTTGTTTGTAATGTAATAAATATTTTATGCCTATCAATGTGCACCTCTGCACTGTACTTGCAGTGCCTGCCCTTCTGTATAGCTACAGGCCTTTGAATGAGCAGAGGGGTTTTGCTGTGCCCCCATGTAACAATTTCAGCCAGCCTATAAAGAGTGCAATTTGCACCACTATGAAATCCTACCCACAAAGAGGCCTAAAAATAGTGAAGCCTGGGGTTTTTGAAGCAGTCAAAGGGAACCAGGTACCCAGCTTTGACAGACAACTGAAAGAAATTGGGCCCCCATGTCCTATTTCACAAGGCGCCTGTATATCCTATTCCACCCTGCTCAAGGCCCTGAAAATCTGTTACTGTAAAAGGAGGGTGGTCTGCTTCCTACTCTCTGCTTTTTGCAATTTAGTTTTGAGGCTTAAATGAAGTCGTGTTACAAAAGCTGCCCCATTAACAATTTTTCTAGTACAGCTCCTTGAGTTGTGCTGTGATTTCTCACAGCATCCTAAAGGCTGTGGTCATACAACAGGCTTCAGTACCTGTCACAAAGCAAAAGTTGTACTACTCAATTAAATGGGTATAGAGCAGTATAGGCCACTACCTCCCCAGCACTGGAATGCAGTCAGAGCTGGTTTAGTTATTTTTGTTAAATATTGTATAAACTGAGCAGTTAGATAAGAATGTGATAGGTCAGGCCCCATCTAAGAAGCGTCATTATAACCTCCAATCTTTAGTGTATTGAAGATCCATGAGAGTCTAATGAGCCTACAGATACAATATTCTCTTGTGATGCAGAGTGGCCTTTACTCTCTATGAAAAACTTGTTCTTTCTGGGTATGTTGGAAAGCCAAGACACTGAAGAGCCTCTCTCCTCCAGGATAAAAACGGCTTTCTTGTGCCTAAAAGGCACTTTTTGTCTCATTCCCCTTTCATGTTCCAAAAGTCTGCCCTCTTATCTCTAACAAGCCTTTCTCCACAACTTGGTCAATGGTGCCTTACTTTTTAAAATAGCTGTTGTAAAGTAGACTTCAATCTTGAATTCTCCCCTTGCAACATCCCCAATCCCCAGAACAAGTAGCCTAAAGCACAGAACAGAACAAACCATGAGGCACTGTAAAAAAAAGTACTCCATTATACAGCTCTGCATCGTCACCTGTAGGTTTGCGTATCTTCTCTTCCAAGAGGCACAAAGAAACCATCCCGTGAACAATAGCACATCTGGAGAAAAGACTGGAAATAATAGTAACTGTTTGACCTACTCTGTATACATTTGAGAAACAACCTCCATGTGGAAACAGACTAAAGGAGTCCCTCCCCTTCATATTTTAACCAAAAGTTGCCTAAAAATAACTTGTTTCACAAGGCAAACAACTACAAGAACTTTGAGAGAGTGGCCTGAGCTCTGTATGCTCAAGTAGCAATGCTCATAGGTAATAAGGAGAAATGTGCTTCAGCTGATTCCAGAGGCTCCTAATTGCCATCATTAAGTGTGTTGATGGTTGATCATCCCTATCAATGTAGACTTTGAAGTAGGAGACAAGTTTAAAACAAGAGTAGCAAATACTTGCAAATGCTTTCCAAAAACCAAGACACTGCTGTCATATTGAATGAAATAGTTTGAATGTTTGTAAAGGTTGCCCATTAGCTAGTTTCAGGAAGAAGATAGGATTTATCTCCTTATCTAGCTCATTGTTTTGGAACTACGTGCAAAATGTCCTGACTTCGCTTAATTTAAATTTTATCTTTAGAAGTCTTTTACAAAGAGAGCAAATATCCTGAATTCCGAGAGATCAAAGCCTAGGGCCTTTTAACCAAATTGGTAAGAAGAGGGCATTTGCAGTGATATGGAAGTCTCCCCAAGAGTAATTTAAAATGCTCAACAAAGGCAAAAGAATCTGTTGAGTAAGATCCAAGCCCAAATTTGGGAGTAATGACAAGTTGAGTAGGAGGAGCCCACTGACGGCAGCTCACTCAATAAAAACTGTAATTTACTGTCCCAATTTGGAGGTGACTTCACTTGCAGAACAACGAAGGAAGAATTGCAAGTGTAGCCCGGACCAGACTGATCACCTGACCCAACCTCTCCGTGAACACGAACCTCTTAGTTCACGCTGAAGCCGCGGAGCACCTGAAAGGGGCTGAAGGAAGGGGACTTAGTCCTATCACTGCTGAGGCCAGCCTATTGAATTGTATTGCTGAGGCAAGCCCATTGAACCGTACTACTGAGGCCAACCCATTAAATCGTACTACTGAGGAATGAAACCATAATTTTGGTATTTGGTTTCTCGGAATTCTAGGATTGTAAGTATATTATGAAAAATAACAGTATTGATTCAAATTTAACTTTTAGTTGTAATTGTAGTAGTTTTTTTAACACTAATTCTTATAGCATTGTTTGGGAAGGAAGTGCATTCGGAGCATTGTTTCTGATATATGCAATTGTGTTTTTAATGTTTGTGGTGTTTCTTAAAGCTAAGCAGTGTTATATATGTAGCAAAGAATTTTAAAATAAAATTGTGTTGTATGAATTAAGTGTGTAATCATTGTGAAATCATGCAATCAGCTAACTACTCCCCCAGCCAGTGCATCAAAACGAATCAGTAAATTGTGTGGGATTTTCTGTATTCCATAACCCACTAGAGACGACTGCCAGTCTTAGGAGCCACTCATACAAAGGGTAAAAACCTTGACTATAATGGCTCTGGATCCTGTAAACCGAAGCCATGTTTGTTACTAGGGTTTTCAAATATTTAAGGCTACTGACATCTTTCTTGTGACTCATACTAAGCCCCAGTTATGTTCACCTGGGAACCTCCATTAAAAGTGTATTTGCTGTTCTATACCCCACTTCCCTGTTTAGCATATTCTGTGAAAATATACATTTCAGCCTCAGTCAGTCCTGAGTTTCAAAGTCCACCTGGTTTAGGTCTGAGTTCCTCTCTTCTACAGCAGCAGGGGGGAAATTTCATTCTTTTACCTGAAGTCTTAGAGAGGGCACAAGCAGGGTACAAGACACGTTGCTGGCAACTGCAGTTTTTAATTATGAAACAGTTCATAGCCAACTTTAACTGCCTGTCATCTACATGCCTGCCTCTTCCAAGACTGCCCTTATCTCTTTCAAACCTTTCCATATTGCTCATGTTTCCCAGGGTGCCTGTGAAATGCTCTGGAGCAGTTAACGGAGAGAGGGCTGTGGCACCTGCTGACTGTAGTAGTCACAATAGTCTCATTATGCTTAGGCATGCAAACTTCCCTTCTGTGCCTTTATTGTATTCACCTATCCTCTTGCACTAGGAGCTGAGACTGGGAGGGCTTTTTAATGAAGATTATCTCATTATATATTTCCTGTTAAACTGTAGTTATGCCCAGCACAATTGGCTCTGGCTCCCTTCAAAAGACAATACTGGGCCTACTTCTGATATCTATCATTTAGAGAATGCACTAACACCAAACGCACAAAACCACATTGTTGGAAACACCAAGAACACCTATAATACCTTTTATTTTGTGCAAATACAGGGGCTCTGAAGGAGAAGATGCTGATAATATCTCCTAGCCCAAGTATCAGTCCAGCTACGAAAGATAGGGATCATTGAGTTAACCAAGATACAAGGTCCCAAAGGTGCTCTAAGATTTTTCAGAAAACAGAGGCTCCCAAACCCACCTAGGTATTTCAGTGATGAGGAACAGGAGATTCTGCAATTCTACCCAGAATCTAGCTAAACTGATCTGTTAAATCCTTCTCTTTTAGAAACAACCCTTTATTCCTTCTTTTCATGTTAATACTCACACATGCAGGTTGGTTTCTGAGGGAAGCAGGAAGAAATTAATCTTTCCCTTTACAGGCGGGTACTTGCATTATAGGACTTGCCAAGGTGCCCTAGCCATGGATCAAGGTGCTATTCTACTAGATGCTTTTACAAACATAGCAAAGAGATAAACCTAGTCCAAAAAAATCAAAATCTAAACAAAAAGCAAGAAAAGCCACAGCTAAATACTACCACCCAGGGGTGGGATGTGCCTCTCTTATGTCTCTCTGCCTAGGAGTGGTCTGATTAAGTGATGAGGTGATGACAGCTGCTGAGATGCCCCCAAATAAGATCAGCTGGCATGACAAATAGCCATCCCAGCTACATCTGTATGAAAGCCATGGGATCTATTAGACTGAAAAAAGAGAGAACAGGGATTTGGCTTTTTTTTTTATTATGGGTTAACAACATTGAATTGTTTTATATAAAGCATCACCCCAAGACAGCTTTGCACACAGCTAGCCTGCTGTGCAGCAATTTGTTGATATGATGTCTTTTTAGAGAACATGATGTTGCAGGATCTCACAAGGCATGCTTCACGCTGAAATTCAGAACCAGGTGAGAGCTATCAGAAATAATATGAGTGGGCCAATTAACCTTTTTTTTAAGCAAAATAGAATCAGTCACAGAAATGTGCTGCCTCTTTCATCTAGGAGAAAACAGGAAAGCAAGCAACAGGCTAGAAGACCAGTGATTAAGTGGAACTAATGTTCAGGGTGTTGTGGGTGGGGAATTAGTTCTGTGTGGGTCTTTAACCCTATATAAGATCCATGCAAGTATTTGAATCACTTTAAATGCTGAATGTTTAGTATAGGCTGTGAACGTTTTTATGTTGTTTGGAGGATAAGCTGGTAAATTAAGGGTACTTTCAGGGGTTTTTTTCTGTGATTTTGGTTATTCTGTTCTAGTCCTTGTTAAAACAGGTCTGACTATATATTTAGCTAGTATCCTGGGGCATTATGAAAGCACAAGGATGCTTTGTTGCTAAGTAAATGGCTGGCATATTACAACAAAAGAGGCTTTATTGTCTGCTCTGATGCAAGAACCAAGACTCAACTTGGTGGGGAGGGGTTTTGGGCACTTCAGTTAGTTTTGGGATTTTCAGTTGGTTAATCTGCTCCATAACAGCAAAATGATCAGTCCACTTCTAGTAGAAGTGATCCATGTGTATAAAGCTGGCCTCTGTGATAGTTGCTCTTTTTGGTTTAGAAGAGGGCTGTAATGGTGCATAATAATTTGAAGTGTAATAATAAATATCAGCACTGATGTTCTCCTGGGATGTGTATGGAAAGAAGGGAGAGGGGCTGGGGGTATCCCATGTGCTAACTCTAGTCTGGCTGCAACTAGTTATCTAAGATGTATGGGTGCTCATGCTGTTTTCTCCCTTACAGATGTGATACCTGTTGTGTTGAGCTGGTTTTGATCCAGAAGCTCCACACCTTCCCTTGTCCCCTCGCTCCTGGATTCTGCCCCCTGACGGTCTGTTTCTATCTGTGTTGGTACGGCAGTGCCCCAGCAATGGGGAGCAAAAGCAGCAAGAGCAGACTCGGCATGATTTTTGAGAGATTGAGAGAGAGAAATGCCAAGAAGAATGTCATGGAGATCAAGAGACTACCGAAAAAGTTTGCGGCCCATCCTGTTGCAGAGGTAACACAACAGGCTCCCCAAGAAGTTAGTGAGGCCCAGCTTGCGAAAACAACTGTGAAAAAGCCTAGCGAGGTCCAGGCTCCCACAGAGGAAAGGGGTGAGAGCCAGGTTATGGTAACAAATGTTCAAAAAGACACTGAAATGACTGGTGAGACCCGGATGAAAGCACAGACTATGCTAGTGATCCCTCAGGAGGTAGAAGCTCAGTCTGCTGTGGAGACCTCCCAAATTAGTGAGAGCCAGTCTCTTATGGAAACAGAGTCCCCACAGGGCGCAAGGAACCATGATCTCAATCCTGTTGCAGAGCCCAGAGAAATGACCAAGGTGCAGCTTGTTCCACCAAGCCCACAAAGTGATCTCCATGATGTTTCATCCCTTCCTACATCTGGACACAGCGGTGAGATGCAGGATAGTGCAGTGATGGCACATGGCTCCATAGTCGGAGCCCCAGAAAACCCTGATGCTCCCATGATGGCAGGAGAGAGCGAAGTGCAGCCCGCTGCACTGCCTAGGCAAGCAGTTTCCCAAGGGATGGATGAGGTACAACCATTCACAGGGACGTCAAAGGATAGTAAGACCCATGCTGTTGCAGAGTCTGAGTCCTTAAATGCTGGAGAGATTGGCATGGCTCCTTCTGTCACAGGCACTGCTGAAGAGACTGATAACCTTGCTGTGGCACCATGCATACAAATAACTCCCTGTGAGACTGAACCTACTGTTTGCAGTCTCAGTGCCACTACTGAGACCCTGTCTCCTAAAGCCAACATGCAAGACACAGCTGAACCCCAGGCCATGGACCATACTGTACAAGAGACCAGTGAGGTGGTGATTACTGTGGGAGCCAGGCAAGAGATTCTCCTAGAGACTGAGCCCCAGCTTCCCACACCGACCATGCTGGAAACTGCCCGTGTAACAGAGCCCAGTTTCACAGCAGAGATGACACCAAGGCATTCACAAAGGTCTCCTGAGGCCCATCCTGCTTCACAGACTGTACCACAAGCAACTGGTAAGGCCTGGCCTACTGAAACTGGGATCCAAACTACTGCAGAAGATGGCACAGTTGTAGAGGCAACGGAGACCTGCCCTTGTCCTGCTACACAGACTGCCCTAGCAGCCAAAGGGGAGACTGAGACCCAGATTGCTGCTGAAACCTCTATAGACACAAAGGCCTGGCCCAGTACTAAGTCTGCAGATGAAACTGCGGCCATGACTGAGGACCAGGCTTCTGTACAGACCATGATGGGAAAGGGCAAGGCCCAAGCTGCCATGGATGTCACAGAGGAGACGCAGCCTATGCAGCACAGCATACAAGTCACTGAGGTGCAGCCCACTGCACAGGCTACGGTGGAGACTGGCGTGCCGTCTGTTCTGTCAACAGCATGTGAAGCTGAGCTTGCCATGGGGGAAAGGGAGCTCTGTCCCGCTGCAGATGCTTCTCTAAAGGCAACAGAGGAGATGGGGAAGAGCCTGCCTGCAGCACAGGGGAGCGGTGTCCAGTGTGCAGATGCCTTTAGAGAAAATGAGCCCCATCTTGTTGCTGAGATGGCACAAGGCACCACAGAGGTGACTCCGGCCCAGTCTGCTGCACTGAACATGGAGGAGATGAGTAAAGGGCAGCTGAGAGCACAGGAAACGGGAGACTCTGAAGCATGGGTTACTCCAAGGACCGTACCAGAGCCCACAGAAATCTCTGGCCTGGCCCAGTCTATTAAAGAGACTGCACAAGGCACTGTAGAAAGGACTGAAAGTCAGGCCACTGTAGCAAGTGAAGTAGCCCATCCTGCTGATGCAGTTACAGAAGCACCACCAGCTGCCAGCATCCCAGAAGGGGCTGGGACCACAGAATCAAAGGGTGGGAAAATGGGGGCCAGTTCCCAAGTCACAAACAATATCTTGGAAGTGAACAAGGAACAGCCTCAGGAATGTGAGCCCAATCCGGAGCCAGAGTCACAGCAGGTCATGGAGCAAAAGCAAATGGCTTTGGCCCCTAAAACTTGTGAGCCCATCAGTGACGCTGCAAATCTGCAAACTGTAGAAGCTCCTCCAACAGGACTTTCCATGAATAGTGTGAAGGACAGGCATGAAAAGGCTGAGGGTCCTGCCACCCACCCAGCAAAAACCAAAGAAGCCCTATCTTCGGACATCAGTCCTAGCAACCATGGCCCCCTCTCTCTAGACGAACCATTCCCAAAGGATGCAGCTGATCCCATTCCTGCGGCCATGGAGCCTGCAGCTTCACAGACCCGCTGACCGAACTGATGCTGCTGCCTTGGTGATCCTGAACTACCTTTCCTGGCTGTAGTAATAACCTGCTTTTGGTCATTCTCAATGTGTGTAGCACATGACCCCACCCAGCCCTTGTGTGACTCCAAGAGCATAAACTACCTTAACTGTCTTTGGGTACAGCTCCCCTCCTGTAGCTGCACCACCATCACTGCCTTTGCCATGGATTTATGCCAGTAGGGTTGGGAAGTGCAGTCTTTTTCACAAGCGGTCGCTTCTTTAGATTGGTGCAGCCTTTATTTGTGTGGCTCTTTCTGTTGTTCAAGAACACTGGCTGTTTTTCCCCCAACACTACTCTGCTGTCACAGAACACCAGCCACTTAATTCCTGGCAAGGGTTTCCCTCACTGTTCTGTAAATGAGCCTCCCTAGAGCTCTCGTGAGCTACTGTGTATCATGGTGGCTGCATCCAC